TTTACAATGACACCTAAATTGTAAAAATTTGCTCAGTAAGACTGGCAAAAAAGTTTGTACCCGGAACAGAGAATCTCGTTATTTTATTTAGTATATAGAAAGATAGTTTGATATTTTTGATTATTTTACCAAAGTCATAAACGTATAAAAACTGATAAAACCAACTACTTCAGGAATCCATTTGTCTGTCAGGAAGATTTGTAGAAGTCTCAGTGGATTTTCCGCTTATCTGATCCAACAGAACTTTTCATTTATGAGGAAAAGCTTTCCCAACTTTAATACACGTCAAAGCATGACGTTTTCCTTTTATAAACTGCGCAATGGAATTATACAGAATGTTTCAAAATTGTCTGGACATATATTGTGGACTTTTTCCTAGGTCTATACAAACATAAATGTCATACAAGTATGGGTCTAAAATGCCTTAATTTCTATCTGTTGGTGCTGATCTGTTGGTCAAATTGCGACTTCGTACACTAGTTACACAAATAACTATATCATAGCTGTATCAATTTGAATAATTATTATTCTAACGAGTTATAACAGCTACAACACAAAAGATATAAGGGGTACTGAAATAAAAGACATAACACTTTAAAATTTAATAATTTTTTACACTAATACATTGACTTTAAAACAAAATTTTTTACTGCTTTTCCATTTCCAGACGGTTTATGGTGCAACAAAGTCAAACAAACTCAAAATAGTGTGTACATTAGATGAGCTTAATACCCATATTAAAATAATAAAACATCAAGGAAGCAGCAACACTATAAACAAAACGGACGCTATTATTTATGGCCATTAGTTATGGGTCGAGGTCAACGCTATGTTCCTTATAGTAGACCACAGACCTAGAGTGAGCCAGTACAACAAGTCATACACCACCTTCATGGTGAACCCGTTGAACACCCCCAATATACCCAAACTGTAGGCTACGAACTCCGCTGGGCTCGTCACACTGTAGCGTATAACAGAGAGAACGCTGTCTTTCGCGTAGCTAATCTGAAGAGTGGTATTTCTCAGTGCTCCATAGTCAACGTCTACAGTAGTTGAGTACGAAATCGTAAAACAATCCAAAGGACAATCGCACTTACATAGTTTGTCATGAAATTCATGGAAGATCAACGCTTTATTTTCCTTTTGACAAGTATCCGCTTTCACGGTGCTACAGATGGGATGAGAACTGTTCATAATAGCTGTTCCAAACGGTATGCAGCCACACAGAGTCAGAGAACAATTGATCTGACATTCAAACACACAGTTGTTGTGCGTGTAAACCTCGAATAGAGAGAGCGACCTCTCGTGTGAAAATGCGCAGTTACGCTTTGACTCTTCTACTTCAGCAAGATTCTTCAACGCATGTGTAACCGTTGGTGTGATAGATATAGCTGCTACGGACCCTCTTAAGATTCTCTGATACTCTGTGACAGTCATTGACGGATGATCGAAATTGCTGTGCACAAACACAATATATCGTTGAAATTCTACTCTCTTATCTGAGAGTTCAAAATCGTCTACTGCCAATTCTGAATAACTTATACGCAGCAAGTAGTTCCTAAACTCAGTTTCAACGTCAATATCATTGAATTTTAACTCCAGATGATTGTCTGTAAACAACAGGTAGTTTTTGCATACGTCATCAAATATATTTTCAGGGACACAGTCCAAAGAAGGCAAAATATTGTTTTTATTTGAGTCGTTATCTTTCATTTTAGCACCTCTATGTCTTACAGAATTGATTGTTTTACAGATATAAATTCCATTTTCATAAATTTTATACGGTGCTAGAAGTCTTTCTGGTAAAGCTGAACCACTGCGAAGAACTTCCGAACGGTATGGACTGTTGGGAAAGTCAGGGTTGTATATTTGAAACGTATTAGTTAGCTCCTCTCCTAGCCTGCCGATGTAGTTGAAATAATCCACCCCCCTGAAAGATTGGTTTGGCCTGACGGAGTTGATCTGTACTGTATTTTCCGTAAACGGTTCGGACAGAGTTGAAAGTAACGTGGCTTCTTCATCAGTCATTGGAAGAAAGTCATAATATAATGGATATATATCGGTGGAAATCATGAACATATTCAATTCATCCTCGCTACACAGCCAAGACGTTCCATTCTCAAGTGACATGCATCGTTTCAAGATCTCAAACCTGTTGTACTCATCTTTCAGCAGCACAGGCTCACAGACAGTGATGGCTGGGAAAGGCATGTCTTTGACATTCATGTAGGTCAGACTTTGAACTATCAGGGAGTTCTGAAAGTTGTTGTATGCGTCTTGGATGTAAATAGCGCTAACAAACAGTGCCACAATGTGGAATAATATGCTCACCGAGTTATACAGATCTGGGCAACGCCTCAAAAAAACACTTCGAACTCCTGGCAATCTGATGTTGTTGAAGAAATCAGTAAAGTAGAAGGTTTGACCTTTGGACTGATTGTTTGACATATCTTTCAGGTTTTTACAATCGGCTTTAATTTCATCAATATCATTTTTAAATATTTTCAAGTTTTCTTTTAACCTTTCGTTACTTGTTTCCATTCTTCTTCTTATACTCTCTAAGCTATTCTTAACTTCAACATACTCTTCTTGAAACACTCTTTGAAAGTGAATAGTTCCCTCCGTTGCTGAATATTGATCTGCATCTATAAATACGTCTTCTGTTTTATCCTCCATGTTTGTTGATCACCAAGTTACACTATGCATTACACCTGTTGATTTGTTCACTGTTATAATTAACTTAAGTAGAGGTCAACTCAAACGTCAAATATTAATAATATGATTTATTAAAACAGTTGCGTTTTCCATGAAAACTTATTACTTATTAATCTGTTTAGATTCACTAAATTACATTAGTGAATCCAATTTTGCTAATATCATAAGCTATGTGCCTTATACAAAGTTTGCAGTTTTTGTAGTAAATTTCTAAAGGATTTAAGAGTTTGATGTCCAATGCGCCATAAATAAGAATATTTCCATACAAAATAAGGCAAAATATTGATCAATTGACAATTAAACTGAAAAAAATGTGTTAAGGAAGCAAGCGCTATGCAGCACTTCTAATTACGGAGAAAACTAAAAAAAATGGTAAATTTAAAATTCCCATGTTATTCTTATGAAGAATATTGTAAAATGTTGTAGTTTGCTTGTTTATGGATATATTTTGATCAAACTTGGCAAATTTATGTATTTTATAGTAAGCTATCAATATTTTACTAAAAACACACTACTTTATTAGTTTCCTTGTAGCAGCAAACCTAGGTACTCGTTAAACCTAATGTTATTTAAATAGATCAATTGAAAATCAATTCGGCCAAATGGAAATTCGCTTAGACGGCAGGTTTGCTGCGGCGGGGGTATTATATATTCTAATTTACTGTTAAGTAGTTTTAAACTAGAAGCTCATTTCATTAGGAGTCCGCCCTTTGACAGAGGCCTCAAGGTGGGATTTGGCCCAATTGTTCTAAATATCGGCACGAAAATCATTTCCTTAACTTTTTCCTAACCATAACATTTTTAAATTTCATTTTATACTTTATTTTATACTTTATACTTTTTGATGAAATGGCGACCATACCTGTTGCTCGAATTCGAGCAATTGCGAAGCATTACAGGCATTATTTTAACGAATAGGTCAAACAGTCATAATTTCCGATGACTTTATAAGAGTCAACTCAAAGATTATGGAAATACTCACGATCTACACAACAGTTAGATATAATCAAATTTTTTTGTAAATATCTTATCTTTTTTCAAATATCTTGTTTTTTAGTGTTTTCTACAAATGTTTCCCACTCATAGCCGCATTAGGTTGTCTACTATTATAAATGAAAAAATAAACACATTATTTCTATTTCTTCTACTTGGTTATGTTCTATGACTATTGATGGGTGCACCCAACCTTTTACAACTAAATTAATAAATTTCATCAGAATTTTTCTTAATACCCAGCAAGTTTTTTTTCTACTTTTAAACTGTTTAATGGAAATTGAATTGTAAGCATTTGTGATATTTCTCACGTGATTGTTTTGAACTTAAATATATTCGTTTCTTGCACGCCGAATCCACTTTTTTATTTGTACCTTTGTTAAACCTGTGGTCTGGACACCGCCCGGCACATGGGTAGTGCGTTTCCAGTTTTTTTTTTTTTGGGTCGAGGCTGGTGTCCGGTTCAGCGTATAGCCCCCCAGGATATTGAACAAAGTAAAAGGCTCGGCTCAAGACAAAAATATGATTAAATATGATGTTTTATTAGTTCATTTAAACAAAATTAAATTGGTCATGAAAACAACACAACATTAAAGCAACTGTGATTAGGCTTTTGGAAAATAGCTAGGCTATTTTATAAATTTATCATATTTTATAACTTGGCTATTTTAAATCATTTTAATGGGTTCTAGGTTTTGTGACCTAGTCTGCAACGAGGAATATAAGTAGAAAGCTCAGAAAACACAAACAACGTGAATTTACTTTAAAAAGCTAGAAAAATAGTATAAGAGTTTCAAGCAAAGTGCAAATAGTACTTTATAAAATACAGAAATTACTGACATCATCGTTCTCTACAACTTAAATCAAATTCTACAGATTGTATGAATATTATCTATTAGAAAACAACAGTTTGATAGTAAAATAGAAATAATATACAAGACCGTTCTTCGGCAGAAATTACTATAACTTGGCAGAAATTACTATAACTTGCATTATCTGTGAGAATTTGTAACCTGCAAGAACATTGTGCAACACTAAGCAGATTAAAGGGTCTAATATTTAAACATCGTTATATTGAAAAAATTCGAACCTAATGAACTATAAGCTATGATCTTTTCAAACTGCAAAATTACCAGAGTGTAAATTTTTTAGTTCTTAAGGGATTTCTTCAACAGCAAGCAAGAATTAAAAATGTTAAATGTCGTATTACTAAGCCACTGACACAATATTCCATTAACATAAATATAATATAAGTATGCGAAGCTCAAAGGAAATAAATTAATCTTTTACTCTTAAATATTCACTCTGTGCCATGCCATGTTCCTTATAGTAGACCACAAACCTAGAGTGAGCCAGTAAAACAAGTCATACACCAACTTTATGGTGAACCCGTTGAACACCCCCAATATACCCAAACTGTAGGCTACGAACTCCGCTGGGCTCGTCACACTGTAGCGTATAACAGAGAGAACGCTGTCTTCCTTGTAGCTAACTTGGGAAGTGGTTCTCCTCTTTGAATATTTTTCATTTAATTCAATTTTTCCACCAAAGGAGTACGAAATAGACAAACAATCCATTGGACAGTTGCACTTGCACCTCTTGTCTTTGTACTCAGGAGTTAATAAGAATTGGTTTTCTTTTTGACAAGAATGTGATTTTCTGTTGCTGCAGATAGGAAGAGAACTGTAAAAAATAGCTGTGCCATAAGGAATGCATCCACAGAGAGTTAGAGAGCAGTTTATCTGACACTCAAACACACAGTTGTTGTGCGTGTAAACCTCAAATAGAGACAGTGATCTCTCGTGTGAAAATACACAGTTTCGTAATGATTCATCCACTTCTGTAAGATCCTGTAACGCGTTGGTAACAGCTGGCGTTGCAACAAGGGCAGATGATGTGGTCTTGACGAGTCTCACGTGTTTCATATTTGACGTTGACGGGATGTCAAAATGCCCGTGTAAAAACACAAAGTAGCTGTTGAACCATATTTCTTTTTTTGAAAGATCGTCAATCTCTCTGTCATCTCTTTCAGGAATAGGATAGTCAATTTCATCTTCAAACTCTATCTCCATGTGATTATCCGTATATAACAAATCATTCTTGCAGGCACTATCAAATATGTTATCAGGATTGCATGATTGTGAATGGTAGGAGTCTAAAAATGGATGGTTTGCACTTTCATTGCTCATTTTTATTTTTGTAGAACCCAACATAGTTGTTTTGTTATCAGCATTGAAGCTCTTACATGTGTAAATTCCCGTGTGAAAATCTTTTATCGATGATATTAATGTCATCAATGATGCTGAACCGTTGCGGAGGGTTACCCTCCTGTGGGGACTTCCTGGAAGGTCAATATTGTAAAGTTGAATTGTACTTATGCGGTCGTTGCCAAGTCTCTCGATGTATTTGATATAATCCACCCCACTAAAGGTCCAATTATGGTCAAGGGGTGGAACATTTTCTGAATCTCCAAAAAGTGGAATATATAGGCTTTGAAATAACTCCCCTTCGTATAGAGTCATTGTCAGTGTATCATATACAATAGGATATATATCATTTGAAATGATAATCATGTTCAATTCATCCTCGCTACACAACCAAGATGTTCCATTCTCAAGTGACATGCATCGTTTCAAGATCTCAAACCTGTTGTACTCATCTTTCAGCAGCACAGGCTCACAGACAGTGATGGCTGGGAAAGGTATGTCTTTGACATTCATGTAGGTCAGACTTTGTACTATCAGGGAGTTCCGAAAGTTGTTGTATGCGTCTTGGATGTAAATAGCGCTAACAAACAGTGCTAAAACGTGGAATATGATGTTTACCAATTTATAAAGGGTCTTCTGCAGATGTCTTCGTTCAGCACGTCTACTTAACCCGATGTTGTTAAATAGTTCTCCGAAATGTGATTGTTCCTTTGTAGCCGGGATTGTGAACGACTTTCTTAGATTCTGACATTTTACTCTTACCGTTTTAACAGTCTTTGTTAGGTCTATCATGTCTTTGGTGATCTTATTAGGTGAGCCAATCCTTCCATCTATCAAAAACAACCGTTTCTTAACCCTACTTAACCGCTCTGTAAGCGTTTCTTTGGTTGTAGAAGTCTGCTTAACCAATGGATAAAGGTCTTTACCATGCAGTTCATGTTCAATTTCAGGATCCATTTCTACTACGGAGTGAGAATGGTTGTTCGACTTTGTTTCAACTGCTGCTAATTACATTACATTGGATTACACAGCGTAAATAAGTTAGAAGATATGCGTGTCAAAGAACGAGCCATCATGTAATTGCTGGAATCGCATGCAAAAGCTAAGAGGCGGTTTGTTTCGTGGAAAAAATTGTCATCCAATGTCATCCTGCACTCTGAAATAAGTGAGGTATGCATGCACAGTAATTTAAAATACGGATCCAACTAACCTATATTTAACTATCCTATATTTATGCTGTGCTCCGTATATGGGAAAGTGTTTTCTTTAGAAACTTAAACTTATATATTTTTTTAAGTTTTATAATTTTGAACGTAAAAATATGAAGTAACAATAGGAACTGTAAGCGTACTTAGTAGTTATATCAATACTAATAGCATTTTTTTAGTTTCGGAGATTCAAAGAATATCAAGAGAAAAACATATTTTTCTTTATTTTACCAATTTTGAAAACCATTTCTCTGTCAATTTAGGGGAGGACGCCTTTTTCCTCCTAACAATCGTCTTAAAACTCACAAAAATTTCAAAAACCTTACAATTTTTGTTGACAAAAGATTTTTTTGTGGTTTTTGTGCAAAATTAAAGTTATTTTAGGATCATTTTGAGCCTCACCAAATCCAATCAAAAAATTTTCACTTAACTAAAATTTTAGAGCAAACTAAACCGGATAATGTGTACGTTTTTTAAAATTGTAGTATGTTATACCAACTTTACCCAATCTAAAATACATATAGACTAGCATTTTTGTTTTTTATTCATCTATATACAGCATTCTACTATTACAGAGTTTATAAAAAAGTCTGATGACCCCAAGTAAATTTTTTATCGACCAATACTAGAAAAACTAAACTCTGCACTTCTTTATGGCATGTGATGAAGTACTTTTTGGGCGTAACCACCACTTCATGTACATCTTAAAAATGGGGTATTTCGAGGGAAACTTAAAAATTTCAAATTGTGAGACCCATCGAGTGACCCGTCATTTTAAAGCTCCTGATAAAAGAAAACCAACAACGCAAACTAAAAGCTCTATCTGAACCAAGTAAAAAATGGTAGTCAATTGAAAATGAAAATGGTCATAAGTGAAAATTTCTAAGTCTGGAAACTCCCTATACATTTTGTAAAGGCTCAAACTAGAAACACTAAACTCCGCACACCTTTATGGCATACGTACTTTTTGAGCCTAATTGCTACTTGGTTCGCAACCCCAAAATAGGGGATTTCGGAGAAAACTCAAAGAATTTGAAATGTTAAGCCCCGGCAAGTGATAGAAGGTCAAACATCGTGGGTACGTGATAAAAACTCAAAGGTCGTGATAAAAGAAAACTAACAACGCAAAATAGGTGTCTTTATCTTAACACAGTACAAAATGGCGGTCAATTGAAATCTTTAGAAATCAGAATTAACCTACAATTTTATTTACGTAACATTTTGGGAACAGTTAAAATTACTATCATTTGCCTTTTTATAAAAACAATGTAAGTCAATTATTGTTGCTTATAATTGAAAATTCTTTTTGCAAAAAATTTGTACCAGAATACAGGTTGTTACTCATGCAAAGGTTGCAGAAGACAATTATTCTGACTTCTAAGGATTTAAATTGACGGCCATATTTTACTGTGCTAAGATAGACCTCTAATTTACGTTGTTAGTTTTATTTTACCACGACCTTAAAAATGAAGGGTCACTCTATGGGGTCTAACATTTCCAATTTCAAAACATTTTCAAGTCTGCAGGTATGCTGTGGTGGGGCATTTTTGCATATTCTATTATAGCAAATATTATTTATGGAACTCGCATCATAATTAGTCAATGAAACTGTTCATTTTAACACGCAAGCTTCTCTTATCGTCACCTAATGAATAGTTAAAGTTTAATTACTTGACAAGAAAGTAGTTCATTTTGTCACACTTCTGTTGTGGGTGATTTCATCCGTAGGTATTCAAAATGGCTCATCAAACCCGAAATGGTATCGTTGGGAATGACCGGTCCCACCCAAAGGAAGAAATACATTTCCAAAACATACTTGAAGAACATGTTCATGAATTTGAAGACTACCTGGATGATATGGAGGAAGGAATTCAAAAATTCGATGATTTATTGTTGGAAGACCTTAGAAATTGTAAAGCGGCTGTGAAAGAAGTTGAATTTGAGGTTGACAACATGACTATGTCATTAGAGGGTATTTCAAGAAAGGAAAATTCTTACTCCGAAGCCCTCTTCAACAACATGGGACTTTCTGGGATGCAATGTGTTTTTTTGAGGCGTTGCCCAGATCTGTATAACTCGGTGAGTATATTATTCCACATTGTAGCACTGTTTGTAAGCGCTATTTACATCCAAGACGCATACAACAACTTTCGGAACTCCCTGATAGTACAAAGTCTGACCTACATGAATGTCAAAGACATGCCTTTCCCAGCCATCACTGTCTGTGAGCCTTTACTGCTGAAAGATGACTACAACAGGTTTGAGATCTTGAAACGATGCATGTCACTTGAGAATGGAACGTCTTGGCTGTGTAGCGAGGATGAATTGAACATGTTCATGATTTCAACTGATATATATCCAATCATATTTGATTTTCTGTTAATGACTGATGATGAAGGGGATTTGTTTACAAGTTTATACGTTCCCCTTTTTGAAGATACGGAAAATATTAAACCAAACCGGATCTTCAATGGGGTGGATTATTTTAAATACATAGAAAAATTAGGAAAAGAACGACTGAGTACGTTCCAAATATACAATCTCGACTTTCCTACTACTCCTTACCGTTTGGAAACTCTTCGCAATGGCTCAACTTCATCACAAATACTGCTAGCACCGGTTAAGAAATTTGAAAATGGGATTTACACTTGTAAGACTATTAACGCTATGAAAAATCTTCGAAAAGCTAAATCTCGTGATGTAAGTAAGCCCAAGGATTTCAATGAGTTCTTGTGTAATCCTGCGAACATATTTGACGACCTTTGCAGGAATGAACTGCTGTACACAGATAACCATTTGGAATTAGAGTTTGCTGATCTTGCTGCTGAAATTGAGTTTACAAACAGTCACCCCGACGTATATAGTCATGAAGTGGAACTTGCAAAAAGAAGATCACTATTCGGAAGATATATTTTGTTTGTACACAGTAACTTTGATAACCCATCGATGACAATCATGCCAAATCAGAGAATCATTCAATGCACATCAGCAGCTATTTCTGTTTCACCAAACATTACCAATGCGAGGAAAGATCTTGCTGAAGTAGAACAGTCAAAACGAAACTGCGTATTTTCATATGAAAGGTCGCTCTCTCTATTTGAGTTTTACACGCAAAACAACTGTGTTTTCGAATGTCAGATAAACTGTTCTTTGAAACTGTGTAGCTGCGTCCATTATGGCACAGCTATTATTAACAGTTCCCTTCCTATCTGTAGCAGCAGTAAAGCATTCGATTGTCAAAAACAAAGTAAATTTCTTTTCAATCAGGAGTACAAAGACAAACGATGCAAGTGTGACTGTCCTTTAGATTGTTTGAGCTTTTTGTACTCTATCGATCAAAAGAATAAGCCTGATGCTGATGCACCACTATTGATGCTAAAGAATACCACTATTCAGTTTAGCTACGAGAAAGACAACGTTCTCTCTGTTATACGCTACAGTGTGACGAGCCCAGCGGAGTTCGTAGCCTACAGTTTGGGTATATTGGGGGTGTTCAACGGGTTTAGTATAAAGGTGGTGTATGAACTTTTCTACTGGCTAACTCTGGGTCTGTGGCTCACTATAGGGGACATAGCGGTGGATATGTAATGCTATGTACTTAAAACTGATGTTACTAATCAACACACTATTTATCTAAATGGAAAAACTTCACAAAAGATTTCTGAATTTGGTTTAATCACTGTAAATGATATCCTTATTGTTATATGAAAGGAAACGATTTCGTTTTTCAATGCCTTGTTTTATGAGCCTTACAACACTCACATTCCATTTCATACTCCGGAATAAAGTAGAAAAAAACAACTTTTCGTCATATATTTATTAAGTCATCTCCATCTTTTCTCCCAATTTCCCATTGCAATTTTTTATATTAAGACAAACCTATTAGTTAAACATTTAAAATCATCTCATAGAATTCTTTTGTAAAATACGCGGCATACATACGTACAACAAGCTTCACTGAGAAGAAGAAAGATGTGTTGATAAAATTATCACTGCACATCTTGCAGTTCTTTAGGCTTTAGGCATCCAGAACGTAGCATAAGTTTATTGGTCTGCAGTACCATCTTGTGAAGACATGAGGCCAACGTGGACAAATTCCTTTAAAGGCTTTATGTGTGGAAAGTATTTGATATGAATAAATGTATAAAGCGTGCCACAAATAGAGCAGAATTTACGTTAATGTGAGCAACCAGTGCTAATGTAATATGTCTCTTCAAATAAACAGTACATAGGGTCTTACCTATCTTTTATAATAAGGCTAACGATCAACTTAAAAAAGTGTAAACCACGATAACCTAGATTGTCTGCCATATAATACCCAGTAAGCAACTACCAACTGGCATTAACCAAAATTGAATTTCGTGTATTTTTAATTGCGTATAGAACAACTAATAAAACTTAAGCCTAAAGTTGATTTTTTCCCAAATCGCCAAATAATTAGAAGTTATTTCTTTACTTATCTAGACTCTCCATCGAAAAAAATAATTTTAAGGTTATAACAACAATAGTTATCGTGCGAAGTCCCCCAATTAAATTTTAAATGTACATTATACTGATGACATTCATGAAATATTTATTCTCAATCAAAGTTGCTGCTCTTATTAGTACTTCAGTACCGGGGGACCGAGCCATGGCTCATGGCTCGGTATAGTTGAATTCGATTGTAAAAGCAATATAAAGGCAACTCAACTCTTATGTACAACTAATTTAGAACTTAATTATTTAACTTCAAGTGGAATTTCAATTTATTATGATGGAAAATTTAACCTGGCAATCCACAACACATTATTTTATTTTACAGTCAATCAATGGTAAAAACCACTCATATAGAGGAACATCAGCTATTACTATTGAGCAAAGATTACACTGAAAATTAATCAATATAGGGGAATATATCCCCTATATAGATCAATTTTCAGTGTAATATATGCTCAATAGTAACAACAGATGTTTTCTCCTTTGTACTGTAAATTATAATTTGCTAGTATACTGTGGTTGGCTTGTTATAAACACAATATGTTACAAGTCTTTTGTTTATGGATTGCAAATTATTGTGTTCATATTAATCTAACAGTAAAAGAGAAGCCTACTTCACACCAGAAGCTCTAGCTCTGTATGATAAGGGTGGAATTGCTTTGATCAAGTTCTTGTTTTATTCAAGCCTTAACTAACATAAAAAATATCCAAACAACAGTTTAATGACATAAATAAACTTGGTAACATAGCAAAACACCAAAGTTTACGAATTCTTTTGTCGTAAAGCAAAACTCGTGAATGCTAAGATATTTTTGTATTCATAAGAAACTTTTGGGAGACTCCAAACACTAAAAATGTGTTGAAAACTTTACTTCATACGATATACACCTCAATAATGTGTACTTTTTATGAGTGTAAATGAAAACAAAGCAAAACTTTGGATACAATAAAGATCTTTACAATGAATTTACCAATGAAAACAGCACAACATATGGTTATTCTTAGTAATATAACAATTCTTGACAAATGCTGCATCACAAGCTTTCACCAAACCAATGATTTCTGGCCCAGAATAACTTTAATATTGAGAATGAAATTGAGAAAGTTGACCTATTGCTATTGTTGCAGAGTAACAGGAAAACAAATCAAAGTAATGGTATGTTGTTTATTGAACCTTATAATTAGATTTACAAGATGAATCATATGACCTTGACAACAAGACTTTCATGCTACTGTATTTGTTATATAAGCGTGTTATTATTTTTATTCTAACCAAGGTTTGTAAAAAAATATTTTAATTAGGGATAAAACAAATTCTTGGGAATTGAAAAATGACATTTACCATCAAAAGAGACTTTTTATCAAGGGTCTTGTTATTAATGTCCTCCTGTAGCTTTCTTAGTTTATTATAACATAAATAAATAATATTTAACAATTTTAACACGAAGAAATTTGTTTTATAGGAGTATGTTCAGTTTTTTTCTGGACACCTTCAATTTGTATATTTCAGAACTACCATAACGTAGTACACTCAATGCCCCCAAATTTGGGACAGTACTATCCTTTAGTCCTGTATTAGGTTGTTGGCCTTTCTAACCCCATGATCAATACCAGAAGCAAATGAACCAAAATTATGTTGTAAACTCAATTTTATGTACTTTGTTTCAAAAGTCTTATGTTCATTTTTCAAAAGTTAAAAATTGATTTATTATTCAAGAAACTCCTTAGGTTAGTATATAAAATTCCCTATATTTCAGGCAGTCTGGAGATACTTTAGTAGGTTGTTTGCCTCCCTAACCCCTGTTGCCAGTCCGCCATGCACCGTACTCCAGTAGTGAGGGTGAGTGGCCTCCCCAGCGAACAGTACAACCTGAAAAGGCGAAGAAATTAAACCCAGTTTAGCAACATACTGCGTATTTATAAATACGACATAAGCAACTAACTGTAATTAATGCCGCATGTAGTTTCGTTTACGAGATTTAATGAAGACATACTGATGTATGTCCTGACCTTGAAATGTGTTAAGGACAGAATTAAACCTTTCATATCCATGGAGGATAGCCTTAGTGTTGAAACATAGTATTTTCAATTTTAACTTTATTAGAACGTATAGAGTATACTAAATAATTACGAAATGGCCTTATTACTTAAAGTTACACCTAAGTGACGTAAGAAGTATACTTACAGGTTTATCATGATGTAGTACAGGCTCGGATAGATGACTTCTAGTTACATTTAGACGATCGCTATCCGGCGTGGGAAAAGAGTATGATCCTAACGTGTAGGGATAGCTGGCCCAGTTAGTCCTGTCAAACAAAAAGAATAATGTTAAATAATGTTAAATAGAACGGTAATCAAATTGTTTTCTTATTTTTGAACCTAATAACTTAAAATATAAGTCGGATGTAGATTGCATCATGTCAGATGATCTCGTGTGGCGGTGTAATCCATGTGCATCTACAAGACGCAAGAGTATGCGGTTTGATTCTCAACTGGCTGAAGGTAAGCTAACACTGGATGACATTATGGCAGCTGTGAATGAGATAAAAGAGGGTCAAAAATCAAATGAAATTGACTTCAACAAATCGTTTGATAATCTATGCAAGAAGATTGAAGAAAATTCTGAAGTAATAAAATCTCAAACCAATAAGATAAATGAGTTTCAAGGTATCGTTGAGAAGCTAACTGCAGAAAATCGAGCTCTAATCCAAAAGGTGGAACAACTGGAAACCCGTATAGAGGAGATAGAACAATATTCTCGCAGTAATGCTGTCGAGATACATGGCGTTCCTCATGAAAGTACTGAAGATGTCGTCGCAGTGGTACAGAAGGTAGGCGAAGCATTGGACTTTAACATCACTGATTCCATGATTGACGCATGTCATAGACTAAGGCGGAAACCTGGCACCAGCGGTCCACCGGCGATCATCGTCAAGTTTGTTAGACGCTTGGACAAAGAGGAGTTGTTGAGAAAACGGCGTGTGAAAAATAATCTTTCGACGCGCCATATGAATCTTCCCGTGGATCAACCAGTGTTCATAAATGAATCGATGTCACCTGCAAGGCGGAGGCTACATGTGGCGGCGAAGGAGATCAAGCGCAATAAAAACTATAAATATTTGTGGGTGCGCGGTGGAAAAATTTTCATCCGGAAGGAAGACGGCTCTCCTGTCATAAACATTAATAGCCAGGCTGACCTTGGTAGACTGTAAGTAGTAGCCTACATTGCATTTTCAATCAGACTATTTTTATGTTTTAAGAAATTTAAATACCATATGGTAATGCTTTATAGGCCTACTGTTAATTTTCTTTGTGCAGTGACCAATTTATCAATTGTGGTTTATTTATTTTACATTTTATGTCCAACAATAAGAATCCATCTATGTTTGTATGTATAAAATTAAAGTAAATAAGAAAAATGAGTTTTGAAATAATCCATCAAAATATTAGAAGTATTAGGAAAAACTTTGATTTGTTTTTAGTAGAATTAACTGCCAGAAATGACTTTCCAGAAATAATTTTATTAACTGAAACCTGGATTAGCAGTGCTGAATCTTGCTTATACAAAATACCTAATTATACAAGTATATTTAAGTGTAATGATTCATATCGAGCAGGAGGTGTAGCAATATTTATTAAAACTTCTATAGAAATTATTCAATTCAATCCTATTATATTTAACTCAGCTGATATAATGCATGTAACAATCAAATTACAATGCAATAGCTATGACCTGCTTGTATTTTACAGATTCCTCTCATTTCCAAAAGAATATTTTATTACAGAATTAAAAGAATATTTTAGATCTCATTTAAACTTAAAATCATTAAAAAACTTATTTTTAGTTGGTGATTTTAATATTAATATAATTGAAGATTCTTTCATAAATGATGAGTATAAATTTCTTATGACAGCAAATGGATTAGAATGTTTTATCAATGAACCAACTAGAATAACTATCGAGTCTCAAACTTGTATTGATCATGTCTTTATTAGAGTTGTAAATAAGAGTTATATTAAAATACAAGCTAGAGTTGAGCATTTAAATATAACTGACCATAGTTTGGTGCGTGTGTCAGTATCAGGTATAAGTCAAGGTCAAGTAAGGTTGTGTGGTGCTGGCGATACGCCGGCTTATCACATTGATTACAAGACCCTCAATTCTCTTCTTGATAACGCCGACTGGGATCTTGTTTATCAGCAACAAAATGCTTCTCTAGCATATGATTGTTTTCTTGGATCATTTTTGAACATGATACTTAGAAGTAAAGTTGAAGTAGGCAAAAGAACTGTATTCAATAAATTAAAACCTTGGATCACTGACTTTATTTGCATGAAAATAAAAATTAGAAATAGAATTTTTAGAAATGTTAAAAAACACCCAAACAATGAAAATTTATATAAATACTATAAAAATTACAGAAATAAATTAAATCAAGAAATTAAAGTTTTGAAGAATGAGTATTATAAAAGGGTATTTAATGATTGTAATGGCAATTCAAAAGCCATATGGAGTGTAATAAATAATCTCACAGGGCAAGATAGTAGAAAGAGTGATAAAATATCTTTGTTGGTAAATGGTACTGATGTAAGTGATCCTGAGATAGTCAGTAATGAGTTTAATACATATTTTTTAAATGTAGTCAATGAAATAGATATAAGTACAAGTAAGCCAGGGAACTTTATGTCTCTGGAAATGAAAAATATTTTTAAGAGTGTTTATCAATTAAATTCCATAGTTCTTGAACCTGTGACTAAAGAAGAATTGCATAAAGTGGTAAATTCTTTGAAGAACAAAACATCACCAGGTATCGATGGGATTAGTTCCTCCTTGATAAAATCAGTATTTGAAAAGATAAGTGATGTACTACTCTATTTAATAAATACTAGTCTAGAAAGTGGGGTTTTTCCAGCTAAATTAAAAGAGGCAGTGGTTATTCCAATTCATAAATCCAATTCAAAAGATATCTGTGGAAATTATCGTCCGATTTCTTTGTTGTCTTCTTTTTCAAAAATATTTGAGAAAATAATGAAATTCAAACTTGTTAATTTCCTGGAGAAAAATAAATTTTTTAGTGACAATCAGTTTGGTTTTAGGGAGGGTTTAAATACTGAAATGGCTTTACAAAAATTCATCGGTTCTATATACAATGGGCTAAACTCTTCACTTAAAGTAAGTGGTCTTTTTCTAGATATCAAAAAAGCATTTGACACAGTTGATTTTAACATTCTGCTTTCAAAATTATACAATTGTGGAATAAGAGGGGTTGCTTATAATTGGTTTGAGAGCTACTTAATTGGACGAAAACAATGTGTCAAAGTAAATGGTAAATTTAGCGATCTGGGAGAAATTTTATATGGTGTTCCACAAGGTTCGGTTTTAGGGGCAATCCTCTTCCTAATTTATATTAATGACCTTTGTGATGCATCTTTCCATGGAAAACTAACTTCATTTGCTGACGACACAGCTCTGTGCTATGCCGGAGAATCATGGGAAGAAGTTAAAATGGCAATGGATACTGATTTAATGTCTCTAAAATGGTGGTTCACCCAAAATCATATGGTTCTCAGTACAGAAAAAACTAAGTATATCAATTTCAGTTTAAGAAAGTCTTTAAAAGATGAAGATCTTGTTATTTACAAATGTATTAAATGTCTATGTCAGCAAACCAAGTGTAATGATTTTTGTGCTCTAGTAGGAGAAGCTGTAGAAATAAAATATCTTGGCCTAACATTAGATAGTGAATTAAATTGGAAAAAGCATGTTTTTAATCTAAAAAACAAATTAAATAATGTGTTAAGAATTTTTTACTTTTTAAGGGAATTGTGTAATGAGGACATCTTGAAAAGACTTTATTTTTCTTTAGTCCAAAGTCGTTTAGAATATGGTTTGACTTGTTGGGGTGGAACGTACAAATCAAATATAAATTCTCTTTTATTACAACAAAAACATTTTGTCAGATTAATTTTAAGAAAAGTAAAAACTGAAACTTCAAAACCATTGTTTTTCTCTTTAAAGATTTTTCCGCTAGAGTATCTATATGTATATAAGGTTTTAAAATATTTTTATAGTAAAAGTGGCAATCGTAACTTTTTTGGAACTTCATACCGAACAAAACTAAGAACTGGAAACAATTTTCCTGTTCCAAAACCAGTGAACACTTTCTTTACTAAAAGTTTTATTTTTATGGCACCAAGGATGTATAATTTGATACCAGATTATATAAAAAGTTCCTTTAATTCTACAGTTTTTTCAAAACGATTACAGAAATGGCTTTTTACGCAAACAAACATCAATTTTCTTACTACTATACAGGTTTAACACATTTCAATAAAATATTTTTTTAAATTTGTATAATTCATCAATTAAAAGTAGTACAGCAAGAAGTATATGTTTTAGAAAGTGCATTTATTTAGTTTTAAGGCAGGAGTATATATTTTAAGTTAACATTTAATTTAAGTTAGCGTCTAAGAGCTGTTTTAGTTTTAAAATGTATGTATAAATGGAGCCTCCATTCAGGCTAGGCCTTGGAGGTCCTAAATTTTCCCAAAAGTAATATAATTTAGTTTGAACATGTAGATATATGGCTACTGTAATTAACTTGAAAATCAAATTTTGTTTTATATAGCTTATCAGTTATTATTTTTTAAGTATGTTTCTCATCCTTAGTATATTATAGGTCATGCCATGGCTAGTATTGTAATAAGTGATGTTGTAAACAATTTAATGTAAAAAAATGGGAAAATAAATATCTTATTTCTTATTTCTATTATATCACAATTTATTTCCAACCCATCAAAATCATCTAGGGATTGAAAAAGTTATGCTTTAGTATGTTAGGTGTTGTTGGGGGATTGGTATATCTGGAGGAAATTCCCCAAAATAATTTAAAATTGGAATTCCATTTTGTTTTTATGGAGAATAAGTAAACTGTAGGTGTTTGCTTGTTTTAGATACTTAAAAAAATCAATTTTGGCATATTATTTCAAAATACTCTATTACTGTTTTACCAAAACCACACATTATTACTTCCTTTGTAGCTGCAAACCTAAGTACTCACTAAACCCATTGTTATGTAGTATAAAAGAATTGACAATTTTGATACATTCAAGTGAAAATCGAATCAAGCAAATGGAAATTCGCTTAGTCAGCAGGTTTTCTGCAACTGGTGTAGATATACATTTCCCATTCTGAATATGCAAAGTGAGATAACCTTTGTAGCTTTGTTCCTACATATAATATTAGCTGTTAAGCCTAAACCATTAATCGAAAACCCAATGATGAAAGGCATCTTGGACAGCTCAAACCACCAAGAGGTTACTGACATATCTCACGATCGTACCTTTTACTAGGTGAGATGCTGGAAACTACATTCCGATAACTGTAGGGGCATTTTGAACAAAACACTATCATGAAAGTGGTCTAGGTTTTAATATTATGCTTGTCATTGTGTCAAGGCAAAACAGTTACCTCAGAATGCCTTCAGGTCGGGGAATCTGATGTTGTTTGCCTACAAGAGCGTTAAGCAGCTCAAGCAGACCCTGGATGACTTCTTCTTCCGTCAACTTCTCCATGATTCTACAAGCTTCCCCTGAAAACCACGAGCAGAGCATGCGCTCATGCTGCATCACCGGCCAGAACCCGGAGGTGTAGGCGGCCCAGTAACCCTGCAGAGGCATAACATGTTATACTAGGTTATAGTCGCAGGTAAATATAATTGTAACAGACAAGGTAAAAGTAATAAGTTAAGATGACAGAAATAACAAGGTAACAGTTAACTACAAGGAGTAACAGGTAAATTGCGCAGGCAAATGGCACAACGGCTGGCATGAATAGTTTGGCGAGATATCGATTCTGCATATCGAAATCTTAATCGACCATTGATTGGACTTATTAGTTTAGATTTTTCGTTAATTTCTTCCTTACTGGTGTCAGCTGTGCAACCTAAAGCCTTAAGGACAGCGATAGTTTAGTTTAACGCATAGTGTACTAACAACTAAATCTAGGGCAGTAAAGTGTCATCTTAGAGCGTATTGAAAGATTAAAACAATATTTAGCCAGAAAAGGTACAAGTTCAGTTTCAACTTGCTCTAACAAAGGAAGTTATTTTATTGTCTACATGACTAGTATCTCTAATATAACATGACACATTTCTTACATGGGTGGAATTTTTCTTGAAGTCTTCAAGCTGTTTCTTAGAAAACATTGAAACAATTACGTTGATATCTTCAGGCCACCATCGAGTTGGAAATAAGAGAAACACTTTTCCGACACACCCTATTCCCAAAGTCTGCAAAATACAACAAAAGATAGGAGTGTTTTTTTTTGCTTACTGCTATCAAGAAAACTTTTCATTAACCATTTGTTGGTGCAGAATAAGCGGTTTTATGCATTATTGAACAATAACTGTCTAAGTACAATGCTGTAAATACTGTATTCTATACCAAATTAAATTTTTCAACACTAATAAAACTATCAAGTTATATTTTATTCACAGACGTCTACTGGAGGGAGAGTGGTCATATAGTACACTCAGGAAATACGCAAAAAACGTACAACTCCTTAACGACTGGAGCTAATTCTTTGATATTTAGCAACATTCTTCGTATTTTGATTGAAATAATTTAGCAAAATGTGAATAAGAACTTTTCAATCGTAAAAAATAGCGGCTATTTAATGCAAAATTTCACAAAAAACTGAAAGACGCATTAAATTGAGTAAATTTGTTTTATAATTAAACGATGTATTACTAAACATAGTTTGGACAAAGAGTAACTGCTAATTTCTTTCATGCTATATCTACAGTTTTCTCAATTTAAAGGACGGTAAATTTATGGAGAAACCTGTGGGTAAAGCAAGAAAGGAACTATTCCTCAGTTATTTTTTTATCCAAACTATGTTAAGCCGGTTGGTTTTGCAAATGAACTCTCAATAAATAAACATAATAAACTCCCTATAACATAAAGCTGTCTTGACAACAATGCAAGTATGCATATCAGCTGATCGGTAATAAAGTAAAGGAAACAGGGCTGCCAACTTATTAGCTTGTTTTTTTCCAAGAGTACCTTCTGTACTTGTAATTAGGGTTACTTCCCAAAACTTATCAATGCATCTAACCACGTTCCTTAAGTTAGTCTCAACAATACCACATTCTCACCTGGATAGCATTAGTCTTACTCCGTGGCAAGGGAGGGTTGAACATCTCCATGTGTTTCTTGAGCACCCCCAGTGACACTGTGATGGCCACGTGATCAGCTGTGTAGCTACTACCATCAGAACATCTCACTACTACCTTCCCCTCCCCCTGACCATAGTCCACCCCCTGCACCTCCTTTGCCGAACAGAACCTTCTCCATGATGGGCAGCTCCTCGGAGACGTTGGGAAACTTTTTCTAGGAGTTACGAAACAGAACGTATGATGTTTATGATGTATTGTGTGATAAAACCATTTTAGCAACTATTACTTTGTTAGATTATGTTCAAATGAGTTTATATTCTAAGGTGTGTTTTAATGTAGATGAGTGAATGATAATTAAATAAAAGCTTTGTCCATATCAGAAACACACATTTTTTTTAGTTATTTTCTTTGTAAATGTAAGCAAAATTTCACTTTAAATGCGAAAATAACTTGTAAGTACAGTATTGACTTAACTGTAATACAGTGTATATTTTTTGACTGCTACCTTCTGTAGTGTATTCCAACTTAGGTTGGGCGTTTGTGTATTGTTAGTTGTAATGTGTTAGTTAAGTTTTCACCTGAAGACGGGATCAGATTCCAGATCCCGAAACGTTGTGTATTGTTTTTTACCATCGTGATGGAAAATGTCCGCAATAAACCTTTGAACAACTTTTAAGTAGCTTATAATAGTATATTTCATTACTAGGACCGAAAGTGGCATTTTCCGTCGCGCGCCCAAGTTTTTGTGTGAGGCGAAGCCGAACACAGGGAACCCTAATTTCACGTGCGAGGCGAAGCCGAGTATGTGAGAGCTATTTTCACGTACGAGGCGAAGCCGAGGACGGGAATAATGGAGCAAGTGCCGGATAATAACTTTCGGTACGAGTTATGAACGATACTTTTCATCACGACGCAAAAATACACAAACACAGAATAGCAGACCTCAGTATATTAAAACAATTTGATTTCTCAATTAATTTGATTGAACATCAAAATAAAATAAAATCTTCTAAAAAGAAACCTACGTATATTTCTCAATAAATTTTGTTTAAACATCAAAATAAAAGAATAACACAACTTTTAAAAATACATACAGCTGATTAAAATCATTAAATTAAACCGTAACAAAACACTGGCGCGCGTAGTGAATAAATGGAGAACTAATTGAGAGCGAGGGAAAGTAAATTTAGAGCGAGGGAAAATCAGCTGATCGATTTTCCCTCGCCCTAAATTAGAGCTTGGGAAACGACTACTTTCATTGATATCAGCTGTTATCGAAAATAGTTACTTTCGTCAAGGAGTGATGAAAATTGTATTTTTGCAATTTTAGCTGGTGCCCCAAATGGGCATAGAATAGAAGAATTAAACAGCTTCTGTACTGACCTTACTCAGAATCGAATCTCTAACAAACAACTGGCGAACAAGTATACCTAATACTTAGAGTAATACAAGCCAAAAGTTTTTGATGGGTCATTTCAACACCGTAACATTAAATAGAAGTTTCATTAATTGCTGCAATAAATACAGATATGTTAACTGTCACATACAAAGCCGACTTCGAGTACCGTGGGTCTAGTGCAAACATAGTGAGTAGCCACCTTACTACCCAAAAATTACTATCCCAACAATACCAACTAACAAAAATCTCAATGTAAATATTCATATTTCTTCACTATTATACTTTCACAACTAACAAAATTAACGTAAAATTGATGGGCTTTATACAATCTTTACGTGTTTTGCACTAAGCACGTTGCCTCCCATTGCATAGGGCGCTTTGAGGCAGCACCTTTCGTATTTGCCTAAAGTTGGCTCTTGACTCACGTAATATCATCTATAGACAAAATGTAATATGCAACTCGTGTCCAAGATAACTCTATAAAACTAACGCTCTTGGCAAGCCTAATGTGTGACATGTCTCTCTATTCAAAAATATCCTTTGCTCACTAGTTGTTCAGATATCTATTATCTCACCGACAGTATCTCAAAGATGGTCTTGTACCCACGGGAGGTCCACTTCAGAGTCTGATCACCTCCATTCTCCACATACTCCCCCTCCCCTCGCACCCCTAACTGTTCAAGGCTGTCTGCAGCGCTGTACACCATCTCATTGGTGGTCACTGTGTGATTGACAGCCTCCCATAGCTCAGCGTCTACTTCACTTGCTGTCACCAGCTCCTGCAGCCTGGTCAAAGTACACGATTATAATTAGATTTGTAGCATATTTTGGTCTTTAAGCCACTATAAACATTTTTCGATGGAGAGAAGTCTATGTAAACTAACATTACCTAACTTAACCCCACCCTACTTGACATAGGTTGCATAGGTCAAATTCTAAAACCGGTGTATCTCTTCTCTAATAGACTCTATATAAGGAGTGTATGCGGTTGTAGGTACACCGGATGTATTTGTATAGCAAAACCAAATTGTAACCACTGGAATTTATGTATGATTTGATTGGCGAATTTAATGTGGGCTGTGGCGTATAGTTTGAGAAACATTCAATAATTTGAAACTAACTTATATTTAACTCTATAAAGCTGTTGGTTGTCAATTAAATATGTTGTAATGATCATAAATAATAATAACGTCCCATAGAAAGTGTGAAAGGGACAATCTTCGGTATACTGACAGATGTTCTGAAATGCTGAAAGTATAGAGAGAGCATGTTAGTCAGTACTGAAATACTGAAACTATTGATGTTGGACCCTGATAATATTGACACAGTTTCCTGAGAATATTAAATGGCAACAACGACGTTAATCCTGAGTAAAATAACATAGATTACTGAGTGTCCTGATTTGAAAACACAGAGAACTGACGGTTTAAATCGAGAATATTAAGAGAATGCTGAGAAAATTGACACTAAATAATGACTTTGGAAGATAAAACTATTGTAACTGATAACAATACTAATAATATTGATGGAGAATTTCGAATACTAGTAGATTCACACAGTGGAAACGGGTACTCTGTCTTATAGCACAACTCATTGAAAAGTCCCATGTGAGCCAATTTCGTTTCACAAGTCACAGGAACTGGGCTGTTTTGAAAGGCCCCCTGAAGACCCAACACCTTTGACTATTAGTTCCTACTTTTTTATTACTATTGATTTCACATGAAAAACTAAAGCTTAGTATTAAGCCACAAAAACACTTATGCGATTCGACTTATCATCATTCTGATGAGGCAATACTCAAATGATTTTTTTAATTTTTCCAATACTACACCTGGGATAGAAGAAGCCAGCTACAGAACCGTCTGAGCTATTGTGCTCACTGTAGTCCTGGTAGAGAATTTCACGAGCCTCTTCCACCAGCGAATATACCAGAGTGTTGTTGTACTGACGACCTGTGACGTCAGCAAAGATGTGCTTCCCTGACTTAACGAGCGGAGCGTACGAGGCTAACAGACCGTAGGGCTTCACCAGGTCGTAGACGATGTTGTCCTCCTGACCATGGACAAACTCCGCACCCTTGTCTACAGGTACACCTCCTAGATGGAACATTGATCTCATTTAAACTCATTTATATCGACCTGTTGGTTTTAAAGGGTTTCAATAGAATAAATGTAGGTTTTTTAAAATTAAAATAACAACACCTCCACCGCAGCAAAACTGCAGCATAAGCGAATTTCTTTTTTTCTGAATTAATTTTCAATTAAATAAATTGATATAACATAAGAATAATAAGTACCAAGTTTCTTTTGCTACGGGGAGGGTAATACACATTGTTTTAGTAAATTTTAAATAACTTAGTACAAAATAAATAAATCTTCCAAGTTTGATCTAAATATATTCTGAAACAAGAAAACTACAACGGTTTCCTTATACACAAGAATATGGAAAACAGGTTTAAAGTGAAATTGGAGTATTTTATGTTTTAAAAGTAAAAAATAAGAAGGCTGGCCAGGACGATGCTCCCCCCACAGTCATAAAGGCTTTATCAGAATGTATCTTGTAATAGGATGATAAAATTTCAGTTACTCATTTTAACAGCACTGACAATTGCACAGCTGATCATTGTTGTATATTTGTATTACATCATCGACAAATAGAAGGTCAGTCTATTGCAACACAATAGTAAAATATATAGTTTAAACACTGCCTACCGTGTTAAATTTGATCAAGTGATCTACAGAAAGAAAAATTCCATACAACTTCCTTACCGAAATTAGACAAAAAATATATTTAATTTATTATTCCTATCGAAGGAAAAGCTTGAAACATAGTTAAGACATTTAAGGAAACTGGAATAATTAGAGATAGACGAAGGCTTTTTTATCATAGTGGAATATGATCAGCCGAAAATATTACTACTTTGAGTGATAGTGTAGCCACAATTAAAAATGTTCCACCATTCACAGACTTTAAGCCTGTCGTACGCATCCCTTAAGCACAATTTTCATGAGTTTTTGGAATTAAACATTAAACATGAGCCAGTAATTCTAAGAACTGAAATCCCTAGATTATTGACAGCAAAGAATGTATTCAGAGTGGGTAACAGAATAACAGACCGAATTTTTGAAGAAAATCTTTTATCTGATAAAGCAAGTTTTAATTTCTCTGGGTATGTTAATAATTGGAATTTCTCAACATGGGTAGAATATAAACCTTATATCATACACGTGAGGCATTGCTAGAACAACTGAAAGCACACATTCAACGAGTTACAGTGCGGGCTACATCTAAATCTTATAAACAAAAATTACCTCTAAAATACAGAAGTGGAGGACGTCCATATTGGCCAAATCAGTAAAGTTTACTAGCCTAGTAAAGTTTTTCACTGTTATGAAAATTGCCAAAGATTATGTTAACCAAATAATAAGTAAGAAAATGTAAAATTGATCGTGTTTTTTTTTTCTGAAAAAAAAAAAAAAAAATAGGTAACTAAAATTGGATCATCCTTTACGTACCGAACTGGACAGTGTTAATCCTGCCGCCAATCCTGTCTGATGCCTCCAAAACAACAAAGTCGGTAAAGTTGTTTTTCAAAAGGGTTGTTGCTGCTGCAAACCCCGAGATGCCCGCTCCAACTATCACTACCTTGTGTTCGACCCTGTAATGGAAACAACACAAGGTTTAAGAATTTTGATTTGCATTCGGGTCTTTTCGAGAAGAGGGTCGCAGTTAAATCCGCCAAATTCAAGTCATTGTGATGAAAATAAGAAATAGGCAACATATATACATTTTAAAAACGAAAATTAATGATTTAACATGTAGATACAGCAAATGTACAACCGTAACCTAACTGTAAATGTTGAAGAATTAATGCTCAATTCAAAGAGGGTTACAACATCTCAATTCTTATTATTTTATTTGATGTTATTTCTTGTTAATGGGATACTAGGCCTTCTTCTTCTTGCAACCGGCGTACATTATGGTGTTCATAATGTTCCATTTAACTGGTTGTGTAGTAAGCGTAGACAATGAATAAAATATAAAATAAAGATTTTTAGTTTTAAAAACGTTTTTTCCCAACTAACTATGTCAGGGTAAACTTAAATATTTATTAAATCACGTAAACATTTCAAGATTTTCTTTTGATCTATTACCTTATTAAACTCCACAGCAAACCATAAACAAGTAAATATTAGTTTGAAAAATTTTTCAGAGTGATTTTATTAAATATATTTTGCTGAATAGCAGACTACTTTACTGTGCTAAAGGTTTTTGTTTGTTAAGCTATTCTTAACAGATATGATGACTGTCAAAAGTACCAATTTTCTTATAAAATAATACTATTATTGTAAATCCATCGGATTTCTTGAATGGGTTACTAACAAACCTATTGTTTTGACATTTACTTACTCAGATGTTGTGGCAAATGCTGAAAAGGTTATAGCTAGTAAAACTAAAACCAACCGAATTAATGTTGCCATCTTGATGACAACAGTACAACTGGTTGGCTTTACTGATAGCAGCAATTAAAAGTTTGGTCAAAAGTTATCAACTATCATAAAACTTGTGAACCCAGAGAGCTATCGCTTCTTGAACTTGACTTTATATTCATATATATATATTTGTTGTGAAGTCCAAAACACTTAAAGAAATTACCATTTTGAAAAATGTAGTTAAACCATTAGGACAAAAATATATAATGCACAGACAATATTAAAGGTTGGGCAACCAGCTTATACTTTTTAACATAAAACGTATTTCCTATAAGGCCTGTTATATTAGAAAATTTTTTCAAATTTTTAGTTTGGGATGAAAGAGTAAAATACGATTATGTTATCGTTTAACCCATGAGCAAACCATACGACTGTCATATTGATTTGTAATTGTTCCACATGGAAAAAAGTTTGAATAATGTTTGTCGGGAAATTTTTAAAAGCAAATGTGCCAAATGAATTAAAGACCAATATCACAAGTTTTGAAAATTAGTTTTTATTGGATAACAAAGTAAATTAATAGAAATTACTCGCGCCACAGAAAAAAGACACTAGAATATGTGTGGCGTAAGCATTTGTCTTTGAATAACGGGGAAATATGATAAAACAGCCAGACAACAAAAGCGGTCATTATTTATTACGAGAGGACAAAATTCCACCCGAGCAGACCGGCTTGGTCTATATATGGAATCAGATATGTGGATTACCATTGAGGGTGAGAAAGTACAATTATCAGAGGGTTTTATTGTTTTAGAAAATTCCTAAGAAGTAGCTACCCTGTCTTTCAGTTTTATATAGATTTCATTTTAATGATTTGACGTTTAGATCACAGTACTTAAACCTTGAGTTTGGTAAAAAAAAACTCGGTATTGCAATGTTAATATTGCAAAGCGTTAACCTTACAAATCTTACTAAATATTCTTAATTAATATTTTTTATCGATATTTAGTTTTGTATTTGCCAAACACTCTAAACATTTTGGTTTACAAACTAAAACTCTTTTACTTTCAAAGTAATGTTAAATGAAAGGAAACACAACTGGTTAGGTCAAAGGATTTCAAACTAGCATTGGGTTTTCCTTTTTCTCTTCTTGTTCTTCCCGTCTCTCTCTATCTCATTTACTGCTTGTGACTTTCTGCACCATGCCTCTTTGATGTTAGAGACATGACGTTTTACTGGAAATTCGGGCGGGTTTTAATTCATTAGCCTTAAAATGGTCATTAGGTTTTATGTTTTAAACCTTCGCCTGAACATGTTACGACCGAATATTTTATCCATAGTTTCAATCAAACTTTATTCCGCAACAAATTTGTCCAATGAGATATGAAATAAATAATCAACCTTGTCAACCTTTGTTTATTATTCGCATACAAAACAAGATTTGGAATTTCAGGACATAGGTTACTTGTAAATTGTTTACACGCAATCCAATAGGAATAATTTTATTAGTCTCTTTATATTTCTATGTAAGGCAGTACTTAAAAAAATATATTCATCGGATTTAATGAATTGACTGTAAGTTAAAGTTTTCTCCTTTTTGCCATTGTATAGTGAGTTTTATAATAATTCATAAAGCAAAGCGTTCATATTTGCTCTGTTTAAGTTTCTTTTTGTATTATTAAACTAACGTAGTCCACATAATTTGTCAATAAGACCTTTTGACATACCTATCCTTCGAGAACAATTTTGAAAGATAACAAAACAGCTTACTTTTAAATATATATATATTAATATAAATAAATAAAAACATTACAACGTACAATTTTTACCTTCTCCCTCTATACATAGTATTCGGAGAAAATATTGTTTTCGTCCAAATTTTCTAGTTAGAATTAGTGGATCCGTCTTAGCCCTGAACCCCAAAAAAGTGGTTTTCGAAGTGATGTATTTTTGTTTGTGAATGTGTACAAACTTCTATGTGCTTACAAATCTTACCTTCGGTTCAATTTTGATGAAAATTGGTATGTGGATCCTAATCTATGGTAAAGATATAAGTAATTTTAATATTTTCAATTTGTAATAGTGATTTTCTTATATAAACCCTTGGAATAATGAAAAAATTTGATTCTTTACAAACAATGCTCAAACGATCTTGAAGAAAAAAGTAAGTTATATTCATTTTTATTTCCAAAAAAAAATGGCTCAACCCGAACTGTAAATTACGGTGAAAAATGTCTCGCAACTTTTGTGAGTTTTCCCGTAAAATATCATAGTTTCTTTCTTTAAATTCATTGTTAAGCCCCTGAGTTGTGGATATTATTGTAAGAATATATTACTTACGTCAATCAGCTCATTGAGTCACGAGTTTCACCTCAGTACATATACTGAAAATTATTATATACATGTACTGAGGTCAAACTCATGACTCAATGAGCTGATTGACGTAAGTAATATATTCTTACAATAGTTTCTTTCACCATTTGATAAGGGTTGTTGACAAGCTTATGGGAAAGTGTTTTATTGCTGATACCGTTTATTATATTTTTTTATTGAATGCAATAACAATCTTTTTTGGAGTTTTTAAATAGGAATATAAACATATAATATATTAGACTTGGTTCTAAGTAATATTCCCTCAGTCATTATCTCTAGGGCTGATGTTGATCTTTTACCCATACATATTTACCATCCCCCACTTAACATAATTTGCTCAAGTAATTCTTCTCGAAATTCAACAACTGCACAATTAATAAATAAACCATATTACTGCTTTAAGGATGCTGATTTTCATAAATTATATTGTTCTATTAGAGATCTTGATTGGAATCCTTTATATAATGTTAGTGATGTGAATGTAGCTGTAGATATGTTTTATTCTTTGTTATTTTCAATTATTGATCAATGTGTTCCTAAGCGTAGTTTGGTCCGTAAAAGCAAATATCCTGTTTGGTTTACAAAAGATATAATTGATTCTATTAAGCTTAAAAATAAGTATGCTAAAAAGCGAAAATTTTCTAACTACCATAATGCCTTGTTTAGAACTATTAGATCGGAAATAAAAATAAAAATTAGGACAGCATATACTAACTATTTGATGTTTGTTGAGGGTAGTATAAATGTTAATACTACTTCTTTTTGGAACTATGTCAAGTCCAAGAAACATGTTTCTAGTTTTGAATTAGGGTCTTCTAGCATGAATTACATGAATGTAAATGTTCCTGTGGACAAGGTAGCTGAAACATTTGCAACTCATTTTGGCTCAGTATTTGATAGAAGACAACCTGATTATTCTAACTTTATTTTTTCAAGATCTATAAATGGTAGTAAACACATTCATTTTTCTATTTCTGAAGTTCTGTTGGCAATAAAACAGTTGAAATCAAAAAAGTCATCGGGTCCAGATAATATTCCCTCGTATGTTGTCAAAGGGTGTGCGGAAGGTCTCTCCCAGCCACTTTGCTATTTATTTAATTTATCAATCTCATCCGGTGTTTTCCCGCAAAAATGGAAAGAAGCCAAGGTCGTTCCAATACACAAATCAGGTAAAATTGATCATATTGAGAATTATCGTCCAATATCCTTAATAAATTCCTTCGCAAAGGTTTTTGAGACTCTTATTTATCGCTTTATTTATACCAGTATAAAAAGTCAGATCTCCTCTCAACAGCATGGTTTCCTACCTCAGAGATCAACTGCTACGAACTTATTGGAGTTTTCCTTTGATAATAACTCAGAACTAGATTTGGGAGGCAGAGTGGATGTTATTTATACAGATTTTTCTAAAGCCTTTGACAAAGTTAACCACGAAATATTAATTTTTAAATTATCTAGATTCGGATTTTCTACTTTCTTTGTTTCCTTTGTGGCTTCATATCTAAAAGACAGATTTCAATATGTAACTGTTAAGAATGTGAAGTCTGAGTCATACTTATGTAGCTCAGGTGTTCCCCAAGGCTCCAATTTGGGTCCTCTCATGTTTTTGATCATTATTAATGATCTTCCTGAAATATTAACTGACTGTAAGAGTCTTTTGTATGCAGACGATCTGAAGATGTATAGAGCCATTAGAGGAGGGAATGATGAGCACATGTTACAAGCATCTCTTAATCTTCTTTCAATGTGGTGTCTGGATAACCACCTGGAATTGAATATTAAAAAATGTGTTACGATGAGCTTTACAAGAAAAACGTTATTCAACCCTTTTCCGTATTCAGTAAATGATTTTAAACTTAAAAGAGTTGACCAAATTAAGGATTTAGGAGTTACTTTTGACTCGTATCTAAGATTTGATAAACACGTTGAATTGATTATTAATCAGTCGTATAGAATGTTAGGTTTTATAATTAGAAATACCAAGAATTTCAGAACTATTGACCCCGTTATTAGATGGTTTTACTCATTTGTTAGAAGTAAGCTGGAATATTGTGTTTTAGTTTGGTTTCCTTTCAACTCATACCACAAAAATGCAATAGAAATTATCCAAAATAAATTTCTACGATACTTGTTTTTAAAAAGGTATAATCAGAGATGTGACTGGCATATGTCAACTGATTCATTGAGAGGATTGTTTGATTTCCAAAGCCTTACATTAAGAAGGGAAGTTTTAGCATTGATTTTTCTGTATAAAATCCTAAATAACAAAGTTGATAGTTTGTTTTTGTTGAGTAAGATTGCTTTTTATGTTCCTCGTAATAATGCAAGGTCGTCAATTTTATTTTATATCCCTCGTTGTAACACTGTTCAATTTTACAGTTTTTCACTTTTTACAGGCTTCCGTTTATTAAATGTCCACAATAGTAAAATAGATGTTTTTTCTGACACTATTAAGCAGTTTAAATTTAAGATAAGCGCTTTGCTTACGTAATGTAATCCATCCCTTTCGATTTGCAGCCAAATTAAGTGAAATTTTCAACAACGTTGTCCATTTTTTTTTAACTTGTATTCACTCTTTTGTACTATTATCATCACTGGTTTTGTATTGTCTATTTATGTGCACTTTTTGTATTTTTTTTTGTTCTTCACTTTATGTATTAATACTGTATTATTTTTCATT